GTCTTAAAATAACTTGCTAGAAGCAAGACTTACTTGGTAACATTTTTTTATCAGACTATGTATATAGCTGGGAGAGATGTTGACAAGGTGCAGGCGGGGAGCGTTGGAGATGTGGGAGTGGGGAACAGGGAGCCCTGGGGGATGGGGTAAGCCTGGCATGGGAGGGCGGGGGATACTTACCTTTCCATCCTCCAGGCCCCTGCTGGCCTGAAATTGCAACTGCTCCAAACTCGAGCTAGCTCTAGCACCCATCAACGTTTCTGCAGCTCAGTGTAAGGTATAACAAGGCCCTCACAGAACTGGAGTCAGGCATTTTGGCTAAAAACCTTCTCTAAGGTGTCCAAGCAGACAGTTGGTCTGAGAAAACATACTACCAAACAAACCTTTGTTTCTCACATATTCCCTGGATCATCATGGCTACAGCAGCACTCTTACCCTAAATTGCTCCTACTCTAAATTGGAGCTGTTCTACCCAGCTGTATTGGAGAGGGCAACTAGTGACCTCCATGTGGATGTTGGGATAAGTTTCTGTACTATTGGGAAGCTGCTCAGTCTCTCTCTGGACTGTGAGCAGAATCTAAGGGTATCTAATCAGCCATCTGTGAACTTTTGCATGCCGATGACTGAGCCCTGGAGGCATATTCCAAGGACCTTTGGCGAAATTTGGTTGCTTCTGCCACCAATTTTAGGCTATTTGTGGAATTGAGAAAAACACAGGTCAAGTGCCAGCCAGCTCTTTCAAAATATGCATCAGCCCTTTCATAACCAAGGGTGGAAATGAATCACCTGTCCTGGGTAAGTTCCGTTTTGTCTCGGAAGCATCCACACCAGCTGGGTCTGTATTGATGAGGCTGTGATACATGATGGGTATCTTGAAAGTTACTAGGCGCATCGACATGAGATGCTACATAACCATAGCAATGTGCTCTCTTGCTATAGTGTGTTGCTACGGTGACATAGCAGCTAAAAATAACCATGTACTACCGTCATGGCACAGTACGGACTCTTACCACACCCTCATTTAATACTTTCAAAAGGAAGTACTAAATGACGGCACAGTAACAATGGCACCATAGGGGCATGTGTAGACATGCCCGCGGTGACCTTCAGCAGGTTTGCTGAGCTAGTGTAGAGTCGGTGGGTGATCAAACTGCCCACTTAAGCTGAAGGTCTACAGGGCAATGATACCAACCCTGCTACATGGATGTGGGACTCTGAGGGTATACACAAGGCATATCCCACTGCACCAAAGATTCTTGCATGCTTTGCTTCAGGTTAACTGGTATGTTGGAATAACATGTTAAGATTTTACAGGGTGCTGGGTATTGAAGCATTAATTGTGAGGGCTCTGTTAACTACATAATAGGATAAGTACCCCAGCAGCTGCTGTAAAGTTAGCTAGAATTTGGCAGGAAGAAGGATGGCTACCCTGGCAAGCATCTTAAGTATGCTTTTAAGTGACACTTGACACAAACTAACATATCAGTTAGTCACTGGTAGTCTTTCACTGCTAAACGGCATCAATAGTACACCAAGGCACACACTTTGAACAGCAACCGCATAATAACAAACAAAAAAAAGCAAGGAAGGTGAAAAGAATGACAACAGCCATAGGGATGTTGGTTTACAAGGCTTTCCGATTTGTGGAAGAAGCTGCTTATTGCACATTAGCCATTTCAGTCACTTGTGTACCCTCCATGCCTGACCTGGTATCTAGTGCTCTCACTCTTGCCTAAAAGCACCCAAAGATGTTTGTTTTTATAAAGACTTACTGAAATTTCTTCTGTTTGTGGTTGGCCGTAAGGCTTTTTGCCTGGTTTCAGTTTTAAGCTTGTGTGTGTGGTTTGAACTTCTGAGTCGGAGCCTTATGAATCCTTTTGGCTTTTAATGTTTTGGGGATAATAAATGCATTTGATACTCATGTGGATGCTGACTTATTCCATAGAGACGAAGAGTTTCTGTGAATAATTTAGCATCATTAAGTTCCCAGTTACCATAAAGTGCCACCACTTCTCAATACAGATCCACTTTTGACCAGTAACATTGCTGAAATTACAGGATAGAAAAGACCATTTTCTGCTCAAAGTTAGATGACATTTGGGGAATTCATACAACTTAAGTTTTCTGAGTTCAGTTAGGAACTCTGAATCTTTACCAAGCCACCAACTTCACTTTGGCTCTGCAGTCTTTTGCCTCTTCTGTCTTTTTACCACAAGGAGAGGATGAAACTCTAGGGTGGTAGGAACTACTGAGGGAGGATTGCTGAGGGCTATACCATTGACTTGTTAATTGCTTAAATATGAAGTTAGCTGCAGCTGAAGAGCTGGGAGAATCCTTTGGCATCCTGGCAGGATCTATTACTCAGAAAGGAGACTGATCAGGGAGTCATGTAACAAATACCAAAAGGCTATAAAGGAGCAAATGGTGAGTGATTCGCCCTTTATGGCCATGGTCAGTAGTTTAAGCTGAGGGGAGCTGCCTGTACCAGGAGGCTGATGAGGATACTCTGCCTTCCTCCCACTGGAAGAGTGAGCCAGAAAAGGGCACTGTCCTTAAGAAGTTTGCTATCTTTTTGTAAAGCTCTGTAAACTCTTATTAAACAAAGGGGTGATCAGAAACTCTGTGCAAACCATATGCATCAGCATGTGTTCACTTGCATATACCTCTTGAAGGCTCACACCTTTGGTGACATTTTGGGAAAGTGAGTTTAAGCTACCATGCGGGTCTGGGGGTCAGCGGTTGGACTGTGAGTTCCGTGTCTCAAAAGAGATGCTAGACAGGAAGTCTGCACCCCAGAAATGAGACTAGAGACTCTAGATAACCTGGGCTCTGTTCAGATGCCAGAGGCTTAAAGCATCTGGGGGTACATCCAGCATCATCATACCTTTACAACAGCTTTGGGTGTGGCCAACAGGTGCCTAACCTGATGTCACCAGGCATTTTGCTTAAGAAAGAAAATATACACCAGTTCTTGTTCTAGGCATGGAGCATTTACTATGGGGGTTACACATTTAATGTGTAACATAGCTGCTGAGACTGAACAAGAAATTTCCTTTGTTGAGAGTTCCCTGGGCTTCATTTTAGAGTCATTGAAGTCTTGCTGAAAGTGTGAACAAATGATGCTTTGCCTTTTTTTTCAGCTTGTAAAATAAAGAGAGGTGTTGAATATCTTTAAACTGAAATGTGGTCAGAGAAATGTCTCCAGTTTGGTGTTGGAGAGACTGTAACAAGACTGTTCACACAGGTAATTGTTTTTTTTGGTAGCCCCAAGGTCTGAGTTGAGACAGAATGGAGGATGCCATTGAAGAAAACAAGGCCCTAAATTACAGACATAAGAAAGCTT